TACAGTTAAATATCAGACATCGGCCATTCCATCAAAATAACTCACCGATGTAAAAGATGCTGCTTTTGTACGACAACCCAGTGACAAGGATGCCTGCAGCAGCAGCACGATGTGATGACGTCACACGCGCCTACCTGATCTCACGGCGCCAAGGAAAATGCAAAATGTCGGCGATGTGGAAGTTTTATTTTTCGTTGGTGAGGATGTCAATTTCTGAAGATTTATGAACTACGTTGAGCCTCGCCACATCATCCTCAGTCAGATATTTTTCTGATGTAACCTCATCCGAGTTACAAGTCGTCATTTCCGACGTCATTGAGAAGCTAATAGCCAATGGCAGTTGGGTGAGTTTTACCACAGACATTTGGATGTCGTGTTAGCCCCATTAGCATGATTAGTCTTACAGCACAATGGATAGACACAAACTTTGATCTTACAAAGGTTGTCCTTCATGCACAGGAGTGCAGAAGATCTCACACTGCAGCTTGGAACCTGGAACAAACCTCCACTAGTGAGACAGCATCGCAGGTGACTAATGCGAATAAATAATATTTAACACTTAATTTAATATAAGTTGAAGTGCTATGCATATCTATATGGCTGTTACTGAATATATGTCGCCAGCTCTTACAGCTGTTGCACAATTTTTGTAGCAAATGAGCCTAAATAAGAGGAATATGTTCTGACAAAGGGAAGTATGTAAACTATTGGTATCAGTTATCAACCAAATAGGTTTTAAACACATAGGCATAATGGATATGGGCCAAAAATCCAATATCGTGCATCCCTATTAGAGGGTGCTTTTGTGGACAGTAGGGGGCTACACATTAAAAAGCTAAAAATATTTAATGATTTTTAACATTTATTGATATTTTACCATTTAAACAAAAGAAAAGACCAGATTCTTGTAAAGAAGGAAAAAATAAATATTTAGTTCTAGTATTCACATATTTGCAAAATAAATTACCAAAAAGCTGAAAACTGCTAAAACCAGCTTAATTTTATTGTTTGTATAACAAACAATAAAATTCAGTTTTATGTTAGTTTGGGTCAAAGCTTGAAAGAGCCACTGAAGAGGGACCAAAGAGCCGTACGTGGCCCCAGAGCCACAGGTTGCAGACACCTGGTCTAAACTGTACATAATTAAGAAAACTTTTTTTTCTTATATTCATAGATAAATTTGAACAGGACAATAAAAATGAATGAAAATACTTTATAAAAACACACTAAGAATAATAAAAACTAATATATTAAGTCTTAATAAGTGCTGAGTAAATGTGCAAACCCACCAGAATAATCCTGTGTTAGCAGGAAAACCTGTCCTTGGCTGTTCCTTGTTTCTAAGCAGTCCCTGTAATCCCCCTGACTGTGCCCCAGACTATATTAATAAGGGATGACTGGATGTGGGGCCCTGGGCCCACAGAAGCAGAGCTACTGGTTTCTGTTGCAAAGTCAGCCCACCGCCCACAGACCCTGTCCTCGGTACAGTTTTACCTGAGGGACTGCAGAATGGCGTTCATGAAGCATGTGTTGCCCAGGTTCCTCAAACCAGTTGCACCTAAAGCCACCCCGTCCTGAAAGAAAAAGAGGCACGTTATTATTGTGCATTTATTTAGAAGACTTATGGAAAAAGTGTGGCAACAGTAAACTAAAGCCTCACTTACAATGTCTTTTAACAACTTTCCATCACTAGCTGAGATTTCCTGGAATTTTCTTTTCCTCTGTCTGTCGCCAAAAATCAGAGAACTATACAAAGATGAAAACGTCATTTGAGAGATTTGGTGGCAGAGTAAAAGAATATGACAAAAAGAACAAGTTTGTTCTTGAAGCTCGTACTTACTTTTCTAAACTCTGAAGATGTTCCCTCACCTTCTGCACGTGTCCGAGTTTGGTGTCGTTCACGACAAAATCATCACACTTGTAACTATGAAAATCAGGAGCGAGAAGCTACAGTCAACTCATCCATACACATAAAAAAAAATACTGAAAGAATCATGTATCAGATCACACTTCTTAGTCATTGCAGTCTCAAATATTAAGAGAAAAAGCTTTCACCAAAATACACTGTGGTTGCAGCAGTCCATGCAGACAGAATGAGGGGTTTTGTCCTTCTCCTGCTTTTCACCCTTTTTGTGACAAACACTGAGGCCGTGGCTCTCTTCAAAGTGTTTCTTTGCATGACCATTTACATATCTGCAAAAAAGACATTTATAATGAAAAAAAAAGTTAAAAATTATCTATAAGATAAAAACAGTTGCAAATTAATGGACAGTGTAATAGTTACAAATATTACAGATTATCAAATGCAGGTATATTTAAAAAAATTTTTTTTAATATTCTGAATAATAAATGGTGCTGGATCTATTTATATCTTTGTTTCTCCAAGTTCAATTACTCAGTTATAAAATTCTTAAAACTAAACTTGTTATCTTCTCTTCTTAAATCCCCACTATTTCAAGATTAAGTTTAAAATATCTTTGTTGACAACTTTTAAGATAATAAAGGTCTCAATCTTCCAGACCACACTAATGCAAGTAACACGTTGGATTAGGAATGATCTTCAAACGTTGAATTCAAAGTACCGTATTAAAGAGTCATAAAACTGTGCTTTTATGATGTACTTTGCCATTTACAAAGTAGTTCCACTTTGGAAAGCTTTTTTTTTTTAATAACAGTGACAATATTTGTGTATTTTTGGGATGTTAAAAAACTTTTTTACGACTAATCACTTACAAATCTTAACCTGGATAAAGACACAAATAAATTAATTAGGGATAACCGATATTATTGGCCAATATTAGCAATAAAGTTAAATATCGGACATTCCATCCAAATAACTCATCGATATAAGGCACTGTTATGTAAATAAAAGGAGCTGTTTTTGTGTATCAACCCTGTAACAAGAATGCCTGCAGCGCCAGCACAACGTTATGACATCACGTGCGCCGTTGAGTTTAGATCTGTGAAAATTTACTAATTGACACTGTTTGAGTGTTGTCATTGTGTTAAAGAGAGCAAATGTCAAGAATAAATTTGAGATTAAACATAATCCAAATTGAAGTGTTACATCATTTTCAGCCCCTTTTTGGCATCTGCATTTGGTAGCAGACCAAACTGGCAAAGATCATGAAGAATAATGTAGTATTTTAATTCCACAGCAGAGAAAGATATGCAGTCTCTGTAAGTAGGTCCAGGAAGTTTTAACATATCGGCATATCAGCCAAAAATCCAATATCGTGCATCCCTAAAATTAATGCCATGTTGTTGGCCTCTGTTGGTTATATCGTTGCTATGACTTCAGATCTGTATGCACTGCAGCCCAAATAACTGGTCATGGTAAACAACAACAAACTATTATTGATTACCAACAAATAAAGACAACTTACCGCCCACAGTGGACCATCAGGCAGGTAAGGCAAATCCAAGGACTTTTATTAGACCTGCAAACTGAACATAAAAACATATCCTTGTTTTATTAGAGCAATGAACCGAGTCGTGTTGTGACTCATTTCCCCACATCGTCCTCTCATGCGTTTTATAACTGAATATTTGTCATTGCCCTTGTTGTGGTTACCGCTGGGTTGACTTGTACATCAAGCCGACACAAAATATGGCAATCAGTCCCTTTAATTGGAAATGGGATACAAAAAAATATAATAAAAATCCCCCAGCTGCAGAAACCTCTGTTCACATCACCGTTGGGTGAAAAGAGGGAGACAAACATCACTTACCATTACAACACCAGGACGGCGGCGTCCCGTTAGGGAACCTGGAGGACTCGGTGGCAGAACCTACGCTTGAGCTCAGATGAGGGCACTCCATCGGCTAACAAAACCAAGCAGCTCTGCCAACGCAGCAATGAAAGCGAACAACGCGGGGAGCTAACAATAGTTAGCCAATTAACCTAAACTAGCAGGCTAACGTTAGCCGACTTACTACTTGTGATCGATACCGCACGTTTCCCTGTGTTTCCTTCCCAACGCGTTCGACCACTGCTACACGACTTGCATTTTCTTTTCACGGTCGGAGCTTATATCAAACAAAAACGAAGGGAGCCTCCGCCAACTCACACCCTACAAGATACAATAACAACGCTATTTTTGGATGTAAAATGCAGCAGGTAACTGCTGCCGCTCGCTACAAACAAATGGATAGAAGTAGAGGAAGTGACGTCGGTTCTACCGGCAGGGCCGTTTGTGACAACAAAGATGAAAAAGCTGCGGAGGAAAATGCACGAGTACTTCCGGTTTTGTTCGCGTTCTGCGCTTTTTCAACTTGTTTTTTTTTTTTTTTTTTCGTCTTAAGCGCCATGTAGGAGAAAATATTATGACGTTTCCTCGCTATACTTTTGACCTCTAGAGGCGTTAATGTGCCGTCTTGTGCTGGGAACCTGCGCAAAACGGCACAAGTCCAAACTCAATAATATTGACATATTACCATTATAAAAAATATATTCTAAACTCTTCTGACAATGCTCATAAAGGCCTCCCTGTTTTTCCATTAAGTGTTTTTTTCAAGTGCTATAAGCAGTTCCCTGTTCTTTTCACAATGATCATTTATTTTCATGCTTTTATTAGCATTTATTTAACCATCATTTTTCCATGAATAGGTTTTTGTAGGAACAAAACTGTACAGTGTTTTTCAAAGTGGGGGCCCCATGGGGGGTGCTAGCGGGAGGGGGGGAGACTTAAAAAAACCAACAACAATAATAATAATAACTTTTATTTATAAGGCACCTTACATTCAAAGTTAATCTCAAAGTGCTGCAATGAGTGAACATCAGATAACATCAGGATAAAACGCAACCATAAAAGCAACTGGGAGAAGGAACAACCAGGAGGATAACGCCTCAGAATGATCACATCAAAAACTTAAAATGCACAAAATGCAGATAAAATACTCAAATAAGAACTATGGGTGAATAAAACAAACAAAAGTACAATGCAACTGTTAAGACAGGAGCTGGCTGCAGGCCACCAGACCTGGAAACCCCCTCCAGCCCAGTTTCTCCCCCGGCTCGAATCTCCCTCAGAGGTGGCAACTCATTATCAATAAATCAAGGAAACGTCAATTAAGTTTTATCAATTATATTAAAATCAAGGCAGGAAAAGGTTACAGTTTACTGTGCTGGTCTTTCTGGTCTGTGACGCGTTCACAAACCCGGAAGAGCCCCGATGTCCCGTGTCATTACTCATTTATAGGGTCCTGGACTCCTCCTTCGCAGAAGGGGAGCTCAACCTGTCAGTGTATGAGGGGTCGTGATTAGTGTGATCTCAATGGAGCTTATGTGGACTGACGTGTTAGGAAATATGAGACGGTGCTTCAAAAAGCCTTTCTACGTGATGTAGCAAGCAGATTAAATATCCTGATGCATGCTCAATAATCCAGGTAGAAAAATCCAAAAAAGTTCAATCTGGTCCTCTGGACATTCAAAAAAAAAAAAAAAAAAAAGCAAAAAAATGTAGAAACGTTTCGTCTCTCATCCAAGAGACTTCCTCAGTCTGAGGTGCTGTTTTCAGCTCAGTCTCTTAAATAGCACCGTCTCAGAGTGGATCAACCAGTTTTGCTGCTGACAACCAAAACCAGCTGATCACATGCTCAAGAAGGACCATCAGCCTAACAATGGATCATTATCACACTGATGGCTGTTTACTACTCACAGAGGGCTGAGTGATACTAGCAATCACAGCATTGTAAGAGGGGGACAGTTGAACCCGGAGGCCTCCACCCCTGTTAAATGATGGACGGTTTCTTTTCACAAAGATGGCCTCCTTTACTCCTCTCTCAAACCATCGTTCCTCTCTGTCCAGGATGTGAACATCTTCATCCCTGAAAGAGTGACCGCTGGCCTGGAGATGAGTGTAGACCGCAGAGTCCTGGCCTGATGATGTTGATCTTCTGTGCTGGTCCATCCTTTTGGCCAGTGGCTGTTTAGTTTCCCCGATGTAAGACTGATCACAGCCCTCCTGACACTGAACAGCATACACAACACTACTCTGTTTGTGCCGGGGGACTGGATCTTTGGGATGAACCAGTCTTTGCCGTAATGTATTTTGGGGTTTAAAAGCCACTGGGACGTTATGTTTAGAAAATAAACGTTTCAGTTTCTCTGATACTCCCTCAACATACTGAATGACCACTGGTCTGGGTCTGGGTTCCTCCTTTTCACCTGATGGCTGACTGGAGTCCTGTTTGGGTTGCTTCTCTGCTTTCAGGAAGGCCCAGTTCGGGCCTTCGGGCCAAGCAGATTAAACTATTCCTTGCTGGATATTGAATCCCAGGGAGACGCTTTTTAGAGTTGCTGGCACAGTTTAACCCAGTCAGAACCGTGTCATAATTTCATTATAATCCCGTCTCTGAGCAGATCAAAAACATAGGACCAGTCTAGATAAATATCTTAACATCACCCCCTGGTTCGAGGGGCCCGGAGGGTTTCTCGAATAAAAACTCCCAGTTCAATATCGCCAGATATGCAAGCACTTAATCACTTTCCTCTGGTTGAATGTAAACTACTCCTTATATGTTGGTGGGAGATGCCTACAGGTTATAGTGTGTGACCTGTGGGCCTCAGGACAAATAAGATGCCAGAGCTGACGGCTAGCGTGAGACCTGCCTCCCCCAGGTCACCTGACTCAGCTCTCGACCTCTGCCTAGGACTTCAGCATCTCTCTGGTGTGGTGAATAGGACATATGGAAATTTCTAACATTTGTCTAGGTCAGAGTTCTAAATATATGATTTAATAATTGAAGAAGACGTCGTAATGCAAGAAAGCGTTCTTATCTAATAGATGTTAATCAGTTTGTAGAACCTGAACTTCTCTTTTTGACTTGGGCAGGCATGGTCCATTTTGTCCATCTGGAAAGGAAAAAAGAAAAACTCTGTGCCCCCTTCCCCTTCAATCATGCAGTACCCAATTTATTTGCACAGAGCACTGCTGGTATTTTTGCCTGTCACAGCAGAAAATGTGCTACTGTGAATAAAATCTGTTTTAAACAATTAACGTGTTTTAACGTGCATATTGTATATAAATAACAGAACCTCCCAACTCCCCCTGGTGATCTAATATAAAAAAAACATATTACTAATTAATCAACATCTCAATTTACCCATTCAACCACCCTTTAATTTAGTCCCAATTTAAATTGAAGAAAAAAAAAAAAAAAAATATATATATATATATATATATATATATATATATATATATATATATATAAAGTCATAAGTTCACCCTCTGGAAAATCTATTTAGTAAAACTCCATTATATGCATTTATCAAAAACCTCAGGTCTCTCGTCAAGACAACACTCAACACTAATCAGCTGTAAAAAGAATTCATCATTTCATAGAAAACGATATTAAATCTATCATTGCAGTTGCACCATCTAGTGGCGTTATTTTATCATGATTTGTTCCCAAAAACTCATTACAACAAATACCATCATACCTCTGTCTGCACATATTGATTAATTATCAATTTATCACATCATCAATCATTAGATCAATCATTGGAGCAATCATCAGAAAATAATAATCAAATATGTCTAACAAGAGTTTATACAGTTAATTCAAGAAAAATAAGTATAACGTCCCATAACTGCAAATGTTCCTAGTATTTTTGTTCTTAATTTTTTCAAAAATAATGGTCTGATTAAAAATATACCTTAGACTCCACTTCTACTGGCTGAAAGACAAAAAGACAGAAAAATAGCAAACGTGTTTTTTCAGCAAACTCAATTTTAGTCGATTTAGCTCTCAAAGCACAATCAATTAAAAAAACTGGGTAAAAAGAAAGTTTTTAAGACCTGTTTTAAAACATGTCACGGTCTGTGGGGCCCTCAGGTATGAAGGCAGGGCGTTCCACAGCCGAGGGGCAGCACAGGAGAAAGCCTGGTCTCCTGTTGTGCGGGACCGAGACCTGGGAGTGAGAAGAAGATGGGTGTTGGCAGAGCGGAGAGTGCATGAAGGACATTGAGGGGTGAGAAGTTCTTTTAAATAAGATTGCACATTATAGTACAAGCACTGGAAGATGAGCAGATACATTTTGTAAGTGATCCGGGCAGAAACAGGGAGCCAGTGAAGTGAACGGAGTACAGGGGTGATGCGCTCATGCTTACGCTCTCTCATCAGGACCCTGGCAGCACTGTTCTGGATATACTGTAGTTTTTGTATGTTTTTGCCAGGAATCCCAAAGAGAAGTGCATTGCAGTAGTCCAGTCTGGAGGAGACAAATAATAATAATAAATAAATAATAGTAATAATAATAATAAAATTTGCCCACTAGGGCAATCTGTATCTGTCATTTCCAGATAAACACACTTGAGAGAGGTTAGATTTCTTTTTTTTTTGTTCTTCTGGTCAACAGTTTGTTGTAAAGTTGTTGTTTTTTTCAATGAGAATATAATACAGTGTTTAAAACATGTTAGTTAATAACATTTATGCTCAGCAGCTGTAAAAATTAACTGAATATAGTGAATAAAAGTTAAAACAATCTAAAAGTTGATGTTTCTGTGCATATTTTGTAGCTTTGTTTGTGGGTTTGCGAAGGGGGCCTCGGCCAGAAGCTAATGCTATTTGGGGAGCATGGCATGGAAAAGTTTGGGGACATTTGTTCTAATAGGTTTTTGTTTTCCTGTTAACTTTTGTGACAACATGCAGCTTGTCTTCTTTTGAAGCAATTTCTTTATTCCCCTTTTATCTCAGACTGTGATCCACTTAAGGTCAAAGCAAAAAAAAAAGAAAAAGAAAACGTGCACACATTGCTAACAATAGATTTCGTTCAGCAAAAATGCCTTCGGATGTAGCAAGCATCAAAATCACAATGTAAATCAAAGTAAATGAAACAATTCGTCCCATCACACTAATAAGCCTTTTTCACTGAACCGGTTCAGACATGTGGTCATAATGTTATGGCTCTTTTTTGTTGCAGAGTTAACTTTTGCTGCTTTGTGCATTATTATTAGTTGTGAAGGAAACACATTTCAAAAGGCCTAATTTTTGCACATAGTCTCTGTCGTGAGTTATCTAACAATTATTAGAGCTAAATTGTAGAAAGAGTTGTAAAAGAAGCCACCAATCAGCTGGTTCTTTGCTGTCCCGTACAGGAACTGTTTGCAAAGTAATAAAGACAAACGTTCTCAGTGGACATGTTCCTCTTTCACTGACACTTCATCAGCTGAGGCTGCACAATCTGAGATAGAACAGATGCAAAAACATAAAAACATCTTGTGTCCCCTGAATGACCTTAACATCACTCACATGCATTTTCTATCCCCCGTGAAAGAAATAATACTCATATGAAAAGAAACATTACACAACAACTTTTAATTGGAATATTCAACTAAATTAAAAAATTAAAATAAAGAAAACACATTGTTTTAGACCTGCTGCTATACAAACAGTATAGAAAAGCACCCTAGAAGTGTCCTGCAATGCATTTTGTTTTATAACACTGAGGAATTTATTAATGATACTAATAATATAACAGACATCTGATTGTTTTTAAAACACCTTCTTTGACTAATAATGAGGTCAACTGGATCTTTATTCAAACATTTGCCATAAAACAAGATTAAAAAAAAGGTTCTGTAAGTTAAACTTGGATTTAGAACAAAAGCCACTCACATGAATGTAAACTTTTAAAGACTTCATTTTAGGATAAATGTAAAAAACAAAAAACAAAAAAGGCTGAAAGATTATTTTAGATCATTTTATGTTTGGCTGTTTATTCACCTAAAATGATTCACAAGTGATACACCCACCCCCCACATACACACCCATAAAAAAGGATGTTGAAGAAAAGTGTCACATTTGTATCAGACAATAAATCATTAGACAAGTTTTGCCACATACAGTGTTACTGATCAATAGCAAGCTGTTTTAATTGTCCCATTAAAATAATTACTTTGCACGCACATGGCTGAAAGTATGTAAAAACTGTAAATGAAATGAGAAAACTGCAATAGTACAACAGTATAACAAATGTCTCTTTATAGAAAGTTGAACTCAGAACGCCTCCTCATACCAACAATGATGCATGTGGTTTCAGGACAAAAGAAGAAAGAAGAGCAAGCAGGTAAAAATGCAGTGTATCACTGTTGAGGAGGTTTATGTCATTTCAATCGTGTTCTCTTGCAGGGGGGACTCCGTTTGGGGCTCACTGCTTTTGGCTTTGGATGCCTTCTGTAAGCTCTTCTTCTTCCTGGAAAAGAACATTTTTAAATAAACTTGAAAACTTGAGAAAGTTAACAACGCACACACATACCATGTAAACATATATATATATATATATATATATATATATATATATATATATATATA